TGTCTAGAGAAAATTCTTTTATATTTCTTTTAGAACAATTCTGCTGGTGGAGTTGTAATTTTTTTTTTCTTCTGAGTATGTCTTTCTGAGTTGACAGTTCATTGAATATTTTTAAAGACACTGTTTTGTTTCCCTTTCTTTTGACCATCATTGTTTCTGATGAAAAATCTTCAGTCGTTTTCCCCTTCAAGTAAGGCATAATATTCCTCTGGCTGCTTTCAATATTTTTCTTTATCCCTGGCTTTCAGTAATTTGATTCTGTTGCATCTTGGTTTGATTTTCTTTGAATTTACTCTGTTTGGAGTTCTCTACGTCTCTCGAACCTGTAAATTTAAGTCTTCCAATATATTTGGGAAGGCTTAGCCAGAATTCTTTCATAAAACTGTTTTGAACTCTGGTGGAAACTACAAATATTTAGGCCATTAAAATAAGTAAGTTCTAGAGATATACTGTAAAACATGAGGCCTATGATTAATAATACTGAATTGTATATTTTCAAAAAAAAATTGCTAAGAGGATAGATCATAGGTTTAGTGCTCTTATCACAAAAAGAAAAAAATAAAAGAAGGGGAAGGAGGAAACTTGTGGAGGTGAAAAATGTTATGGCATTGGCAGGGATGACAGTGGGTGTATACTTCAACCTGTTTCTCATCTGCTCAAAGCTCACTGGCTTCCACTGCTCTCAGAATAAAGCTCACCTCCCGCATAGCTTGCAAGGCTGCGCACGCTCAGGCTCTGCTCACCACTCACGACCCCACTCAGCGCCCCATCGCCAGTCATTTCTCCTTTCCTTCCTGCTCTGCTAGCTGGACATCGCCTGTCCCACCCTACAGCCTCTGCATGTGCAATCCCACTGCCTGCAATGATTTTTCCATCTTCTGCACCACTTAACAGCCACTCGTCCTTGCACTCAGCTCAGCTGCCTCTTCCTGGAGGACAGCCTGCCTCCGCTGGCCTCTCCCCCGCCGTGCACCCTCACCTATCACTGCAATCTGTGGGCTGTGTGTTTAGAGCGCATCTTCTTACCTGAGCAGCGGAGGAAGTGGGTCTTCATTCTTCTCCAGCCACAGGAGGAACCGGGGGCGCCTTCCTGGGTTCCGCTGGCTGGCTGGCTGCTGGGCTGTGCCGCCAAGCCCTTCTGGGCGCGTTTGTTTAGTGTCTGAAAATCTCCAAAACAGCTGCTCACAGGGGAGGGCAGCATGGCGGGGTCCTCAGGGCCCGGAAGCCGGTGCGGGTGTGAACATCGTCCTCATCCACCTGCGCGGGTCTCTCTGCCGCACGCTCGGCGCCTACAGTCCCAACGCCAGTGGGCCTTCCATGTGGAGGACACACTGCAGCTGGCCTGGCTGCTGGTCGCCATCACCGCCAAGCCCTTCTCTCCGGTTTGCGGAACAAAGAAACTGAGGCTCAGGAGCCAGTGGGTGTCCCAGTGCAGGCCAGGAGCCGGGCTCCGCTGAGTCCTGTTGAGGAGCCAAACCTGTCAGCAGCATGCCCACATCCTGTTCCCAGTCCCAGGAAACCAGAGGGACCTAGAGCCCTCCGTCTTGCAGGCGAGGGTGCTGGCACCAAGCCTGGGCCTCAGGGCTCCCGGGCAGGTTAGCCAGCGATGAGCTGCCCTGAGTCGCCACGTCTGTCTGCCGTCCAGGCGTGGTGCAGCTACTGACTCTTCTCCCGCCTCTGCAGGGGAGACTCTCCGAAGGCCAGAGGTCTTAGGACAGAAGCAGAAATCAAGTAGAGAGAATACAAGCCCTCCTTCCTCCCCCCCCCCCCCCATTCCAAACTAACTCCCGCCCCTCCTGGCTGGGGATAAGATAACCTGCCTTGCTGGAGGCAAACTGCACATGAAACGTCAGCTATGCTACTGGTTGCTAATCACCATTCCCAGGGTTGGTACAAGAAAGTGGGCATCGAGGTTGGCAAGGGGGGATCCTTCCAGCAACTGGGCCTCATGCGCAACAGTCCGCTTGGGCGCCGGGGGCACAGTCTATGTACAGCCTCCTGCCTGGTGGCTCCAGCTCCTCCCGGATGCTGCTGGAAACCATCTCTGTCAGAGCTGACTTCCTGGCCACAGGCTGGGAAGTGTCCCCAGTAGGGTCAGATTTTCAGGGGTTTTATGCAGATGGCGCTTAATAAACATTACTGGATGAGGACGCTAGCTTCCGGCCATCTCTGCACTGCACCGAGCATCCTCCGGGTTGCCCCAGAAAGCCTCCCAGCCCGGGGGTGATAGAACAGAGTCCTGGGCATTACAGAGAGGTCTGTAGGTACGGAGTTAGTGGAAACTTCCTACATTGATTTGGAGGTGGGGGGAGGGGTTCTAGCAGCTTGGGTTTTTTTTTTGGTTTCAGCTAGACCTTGTGTTCTAACTGTGCTAACGGTGAATGCAAACCAGGTTTCTGAAGTCTTCAATCTGGGGTTGTTGTTGTTTTTTGTCTCTTGACTGAAGGATGCGCCCTGGACTGATCCCCAAAGCTTTCAGGACCACAATGGGGACTGATGTGAAAATAGCGCACCAGTTGGCAATCCGTGAGGACCAGTTCTGCCCCGTCAGGGAGTGCTGGCCTTCAGGAGACCTCTGGCACTGCCCCCGATGCTGCTGGGAAGACACAGCATTCCTGAGCCATCGGGCCTGGGTTTAGGGACCTAACTGGCAGCAGGAGGATGGAGGCAGTCTCTCCCCCATCCTCGCCACCTGGGCACGGACCCCCACCTGGGTGTCCTCCACGAGCTGAGCTGGCTCAGGGTGCAGGCTGAGCCTCCGCTCCCATGAGGACAGCATCTCAATGTGCCGGGCCTGGTACTTCTCCAGGGGCTTTTAAATGCATTATCTTGTTGGAGGCTCATTTGAGGCAAGGACTCCAAGCAGGCTGGAAAACAACTCATTTACCGAATGGGGGGGAAGCTGAATGCAGCTATGTTTTTGCCGAATCTCAAACCAAAACAACCTTTTGTTAAAGAACAAACAAATAAACAAAATGCTGAACATCAGTTCACCAGGGAACATGGTCTGAAGGGAGGTTCTAGGCAGAGAACCGCATAGCGAATTCAACTCAACAAACGTATATGGGGGGCTCCTGCGGCCACAGATGTGCGCAGGGAGTGGCGGTGAGAAGTCTCCCTCTGGAACAGGGTGGGGGTGGGGGAAGCAGCAGCTCGGCTGTCCCAAGGTGGGTAGTGGGGAGCCCAGAATGGCAGTGACCCGGGTGGCTGCCCTCTCCTAGGGCCGTGGCCTCCTCGCTCTCCGGAGAGCCAGGTGACAATCTAACGTTTCCCTGCACGTGCCAGAGGCCCTCCCCTGGAGTGGCCCTGTCTGCCCAGGCCTGCGCAAGCCCTACAGGGCCTGACAAAGCTCTCTCCTGGTGTCGCCACCTCTGCTGACACAGACCTGACCTCGGGGATGGGGTTCTGGTCTCAGCGCTAGGACTGGACTTGTGATCCTCCTCTTGGGGTGCTGCTGACCGCACCCTTCTTTTGCACAGCCCCTCCCACAGGCTGCAGAATGTGTCAGTCTGGCTCCCGCCTGCGGCTGAGACCTGCTACCAGCCCAGGAGTGGAGGCCAGGCTGTGGCCTGCTCTCTCTCCCGCGTGGCTGAGTGCAGGGCTGTGGTCTCCTCTCCAGGGACAGGGTGCCGACCCCACACGCCTCCCAGCTATGTAGGGCTCTACCGTGTCATGTCGGTGGTGATGGTTGTGGCCAAATTCACCCAGAGGCACTTCCTCGGCACTATCTCGTGTCTGCCCAGCTGCCTGCCTGGACCCAAAGCTCAAGCTCCGCACATACCTTCTGGTTCTCAAGCTGAGGGGCTGGGGCTGCAGAATCTCTGTGCCAACCTCATGTTTCTGTATCGCTCGCCAGGAACCACTATCAAGTGGACCCACTGGTACCCAACTGCCCCCCGTCACCCCCAGACCTAGTTGCCCGGACTTCATGGGGTCAGGGGAAGCAGCTATCTTGTCCTAAGGCCCTTTGGCCATTGGGAGAGCAAGGCCTCTGGCTCTCAGCACCCCCACCCCGCCCGAGTCTCCCTAAGGCCGGCACGTAGGCAGGCCCTGAGCCCGCAGCTGCTCCCCAGCTGGGTCCCTGGCCCTGAGGCCGCCTTTGTGCCCACACAAGGCAGACTCAGTTCTCCTGTTCCTTGACCCTGCGTCCTGCAGCCCCTGGGGGGTGGGGGGGCAGCAACTGGACCACCTCAGTGACCTCCATCTCCTTCGGGGCACCTCGGCGGGAAGCTGGTGAGAGCTGCTCACTGCAAGGCCATTAAGCACGCTAATGACCCATGAAGGCTCCTGGCTGTTCTGGCCACCCTGGCCGTGCCTCCCCCGGCTCACAGCGCCTGCTCCCCCCCGCCCGCCTGTGACCGCTATTACTGTTACTTAACGTGTCAGGCCACAGTTTTCCCACTCGGGGCCCAGGTCTTGGAGCTGCTGCTTGACTCTTCCGGCTGAGCTAAGGCTGTGCACACAGCAGGCAGTTAATAAATATTTATTTGGAATCAAGTCCAGAAAGAGTCACCTTGATTTCCAAGGCTGGGAAGGGGACTTGAGTCTGGGGACACCTGGTCAGGGCAAGGTAGTGAGTGGGCCAGGGTACAAACAGGGGACACGTGTCCTGCACCTGTGCTCTCACCCGCTCCCAGCAGAGGTGCGGGCAGCTGCCTCTCTGCCAGGTGGGGACCAAGCCCCTGATCTTTTCGCCTGGGCAGCGGGGGACAGAGACAAAAGGGGACAGAGGCCCTGCCTTACTCTCATGGACTCAGGAGAAGCTGGCTTCCAGGTGTCTGGGGCCCGCCTTGCCTGCCTCATCAGGGTCAGGGGGGAGGTCTCCCTGAATCCTGGCTGGCCTTGCCCTTCAGCCCTAGACTCATGCTTTCAGTGCCGAGGGAACATACCTGACCCAGTCCCATACTCAGTCTCAGGATGTGCCGGGGGCTAGCCAGCCTTCCCCGCAGACCTGGGCTCTCAGAGCCTGATGCTCACTTGGGAGAAGGTGACAGCAGGCCTCAGAGTGGGTTTCTAAAACAGGGCGGGAGAAAGAGTGAGACAGACGGCAAAGAAGTGATGTGATGCAGCCATATTTAATTCAACCGCCAGTGGACTTTAAGGGGCCAGGGTAGACTCTTTATAACACCGAGGCCCCAAAGCAAGCCGCCTCCATCCTTTCAAAGGAGGAGCTGCCTGGGGACAGCAGCTGTTGGGCCAGAGCTCGGGCGGGGCCCTCTGTGATGTGGGCCATGGGGGGAACCGGGGCAGGACCCAGGGCCCCAGGCACCCATCTGGGCACCAGGTAGACGCAGGAGGCTGAGAGCCAGGAAGCCAAAGGCGTGGGGATGCCATGTGGAGCCCAGGAAGCACAGGCTGGGAGGCCTGCCTACGGCGCAAACAGCCCGGTGCCTCCAGCCCTTCCTCTGGCCCGCCCGCCCACCCTGAGCTGTTGTCAAAGACATAAGAGCCATCTCCATCACCACAACTGAGAACAGAACAAACGAAAGCCCATCGTAAGTATAATCTTCCAATCGCTTAAAATTAATCAGTGCAAAGGGAGGCAGAGCCCTGCGGCCGGGCCGGGGGACAGCCAGCCTCACACAAGCCTGCGCCTCTTGGAGTCCCTTTCCGTGTCGCCCTCCGGGGGGTCTTCCTCGCAGCCGAGCGGGGACACCAGGTTCAGCAGAGGGTCCTCAGAGGCTCGCCCGAAGAGTGCCAGGAGGAGGGCCACCCCGAAGCCCGTGGCGCGCTCACCCTGTGGACAAAGTGCAGGTGGAGCCCCTGCCAGGGAGCCAGGCCCGCTCAGCGAGCTGTCTGGGGTGGGTGGGGGCAGGGCGAGGACCCCACTTTCCCTGCAGACCCGTCTGCTACCCCCCACACTCAGGTTCTGCCAGGGTGCGAAAGGGTGACAACCAGGCCCTGGGCCTCCTGCTGAGGACGGCTGGCTGGGGAAGGACTGCCAACAGCAGCCACTGTTCCCAGGGGTGAGGAGACCAGAGGTCGGGGGACCACAGCTGGCTGGGAGGCGGGGCCATGAACAAAATGACCCTCAACACACAATGTTTCCCATGAGCTCAGCCTGCGGCTCCGGAGCCAGACAGGACTCTGGATGCGCATCTGATGGCGGGAGCCAAGCCGAAGGGAGGGCCGGGAGGGAACGCAGATGGAGGCCAGCCCGGGAAGTGTCCTAAGCGGAGGGAGACACCCCGGGGCCGCACTCACTGCGTGCACAGGCGCAGCGATGTCCAGGTGGACCCAGACCCCGGGCCAGTCGAAGCCGATGTGCGAGGCAATGAAAAGGCCAGCACAGGAGCTGGGGCTGTTGTCGCGGTCCTGGGGGGACAGAGGCAGACAGTGACCCTTCCCCACCCAGCAATGGGGGCTTGGGTGAGGGTCTCCACCAAGAGCACCATCAGGGCCTATTGTGGACCCACCTCGCCATCCTCAGACACCTCCCTGGTCTGACAGGGACTAGGGAGGGGCCAGAGCAGGAGTGGCAGCTGAGAGGGGCTTGGGAGCCCAAGGATCTTGCATGTGGGCTTAGGTCTGCCTTCACCCCAAGGCAAGAGGCAGCCAGCAAAGGGACGGATGGGGGCAACAGAGAGACCCCAGATGGGGAGGGAACCCAGTACCAGACGTGGTGGGCATGCTGGCAGGGCCCAGTGAACGGTATATCCCCTCTTTAGAGCCCCCCCCTCCCCCCGTCCCCAGCCACAGCAAAGATCCGGGGCCTCCTGGGAGGGCCCCTTGTCTACACTGCTGCTGATCCTTGGGGTCACACTGGCACCCTGAGAGCAGGGCTCTGTCGGCCCCGCTCCCTCCGCTCAGGAGTCGCTCCAAACCTACCGCCACCGAGTTCTTCATGTCGGCCACGGCCGAGGTGAACTCGCTGAAGTGCAGCTCGGGGCAGTAGACGAGGGGGTGCACGAGGTCCCCGCATTTCCGCCCGGACTTCACGCAGGCCGCCTCCCACTCGGCGCTGTTGGTGAGCACGGCGGCGTGGTACTTGCCCGTGGCGATGCCCTGGGGACAGGGAGAGTGGGCAGAGTCCCCAGGAGAGGGAACAGAGACAGTGGTGAGAGGCGGCGACAGACGCAGGGAAGGGAGCCCTCTCCCCAACCCCCACTTCCCCCCATCCGGCACCCAGGCCTCAGTCCAGGGCTCTGCTTCCCGCACCCTCCCCGCCAGGTTAGGAAGATGGAATGACAGCACCCTCCTTCTGGGAGGCCAGGCGGCCTCCGGCTCCCACCTGCGCTCCGGTCAGCGTGGCCATGTCCAGGATGATGTCGGCGCCCAGGTCCTTGCAGGCGTAGGACACACCGTCGGCCAGCACCAGCCTGCCCTCGGCGTCCGTGTTGTTGATCTCCACTGTCCTGGGGGCGGCAGACACCGCTCAGGAGGGCATTCCCTGAGGAGAGCCCTGTTTCTGTAACTCCCCCTCCCTACAGCACCAGGGTCAAGAGCAAAGGCCACTGTGTCAATCCCGCCCATACCACAAGCCACCAGCTCTGGCCTCGGCCTCCTCTTCTGTGCGATGGAGAACAGGGTGTGTGGGCAGCACGCAAACTGTGCCCTGGCCTAGGTGAGTGCATGGCTACCTGTCATGGTCACCCTGGGGAGGAAGTGCTCCCCCACCAAAGCAGGGTGGTTCCTGGGCCCCTGAGCCAGGACCCCGTCTCCCTTCTGGGCATCCCTGGGAGCAAGCAGGGTGAAATCTGCCCCCGGCCAGCATGGCCCCAGATGACCAGTCTGGCCTGGGACGAAGAGGACAGCACGCGGAGGGCGCTGGGCTGTGTGGTGAGCGAGGGTGTCTTACTTTCCGGAGTAGAGCAGGTGGATGTCATCGGGCCTCGTGGAGTTGGGCCCCACGGAGTTCTCGGCCAAGCAGAACACTGCGTGAAGGTTGTCTTTGAAGCCCTGGAGGAGAGGGGCAGAGGCTCCAGTGAAAGCTGGTGGTGCTCGGACAAGCTCATCGAGGGAGGCAGTGGGGCAATGGGGGAGAGGGGAGAAGCGGGCAGATGGCCGCACTCCTCCTTAGTCTCAGCCAGCAAGGGGACAAGAGAGCGGGTGGCTGGGGCTCCACATGCCGCATCCCCTGCAAGGAGCACGGTGGCCTGTGTCCTGTGGTTCTGCTTCAGAGAGACCCCAGGAAGTCCCATTTCAAATGAGACTGAGGGAGGCAGAAGCTAGAGGCAGCCAGGCTCCGGGCCCCTCTGTCCTGCAAGTCTGTTCTTGCAGAGAACAGACTGGGCTCCTGATGGGCATTAATTTGAAACTTTGCCAAGACCTTCTGCTCTCACTTTAAGTTTACCCCCAGGAACCAGGCCAGACAGGTAGGTCCTACAGAGAGAGAAGGCCCTGCATTTGGTGACAGGAAGGGATGGCTCCTAGAAGCAGCCTGAGCAGCTCCTTTTGAGAGGTTAGCCACCCCCATGGTGTCAGGCACACCACCCCTTTGCTGAACACACTTTTCACCATGTGACACTGGCGCTTGGGCTCCAAAGGACGGCATCCCCCAACCTCACCCTTGGCAGCGACCCCCATCCTGGCAGGGAGGAGCTGCCCTGGAGCCCTCACTTCTTTCCTTTAGAGCCTTTGGCCTGTGATGGGTGCTGACCCCGCAGGAGGATGGGTGAGGGTCCTCCTCTCCCAGGACTGCAGGAGTGGGGTCCCACTCACCTGCTTGACGGCAGCTCTGAAGGCCCCCAGGATGGCTGCAGCACCACCGCAGTCTCTCTTCATGCCGGGCATGGTGGTCTGCAGACAGCATGACGGGCGAGAGGGGAGTAAGTAAGGTGACTGGTACACAACAATGCCCCACCTGCCCCAGCACCCAGGGCCCAGAGGGGTTCCCTAGACCTGTAGGACCTAGAAAAGGGAAGCCAGGACACTCTCACTGGTCAGGTGGGCATTCTCTAGAAACAACAGGCAGTAATGGCCAAATTCCAGGGGACACTTTCACCTGAGCAGAGTGTTGGGGGTTATCCAAGGAAGCTGTGGGGGAGGAGGAAAATGAATAGGAGGAGGAGGAGCAGCAGAAGAGAATGAGAAAGAGCAGAAGCCGAAGGAGAGGAGGGGAACAATGATGAAGAACACACAACAGAGGAGATTAAAAATGGCGGCAGAGTAAGTGGAAGGTACATGGACATGCTCCCAGGAACAAATAAATTACAATTAAATACAGAAAAACTTCCTGAATAACCAACAGAAGAATCTCTGAGAGAACTCTGATAACTGAGGACAGAGAGTGGAGACACATAGAGACTGGTAGGAGGGACGGAGGCGCAAAAGGGCTGGCCGGGTGCCCACAGACAGCAGCTGAAGTTCTGGAAGACATCTCAGCTGTGGGGGGTTGCCACTGAGAACTGTGGGATCTAATCCCCAAGCTGGGCCCCCCAATAGACAGCACCAGAACTGAGAAAGGGTACCCACAAACATCTGGCTGTGAGCAGTTGCAGGATGGCTGTGAGCCAGGGAGAGACTGGAAATTCCAGCACCCTCTTAAAGGGTCAACTCACAATGTTCCCTGTAGAGCCACCCACCTCGAGTCCCAACAGAAGGAGTGGACTGGAGCTGTGTGAGCAGAAGCTGGGATCAAAGATTCTGATATTAGAGCTCAGAAGGCAGACACCCCGGTTTCCTGTGCTGAGTCACTCTCTTAAGCTGTGAGGTCATCTTTCTCATACAGACATTTGTTATATAAGTGACCTTGCCTAGGGGGAAGACAATTGCTCCACCCTATTGGAAAATGTCTTACACTATGGTGTAGAGTTCCTGAGGCACATTAAGAGACAGGATAACAATTATTGTCCAAGCAGAAGCAATTGCCCGAAAAAGTTGAAAACACTCTTGCCATACCTGAGGATGACTGCCTGACTGCAATTCAAGACAAAATCCTACCAGTCTGTAGACAGGGGCAATCTTTGGAGGCTTTGAATCTTTGCCTGATCTAATTAGTCAGAAACAGCATTTGACATTGTCCTGCACTAGAGATTGAGAGGTATAGCAGATTTACCTAATACACAGTCACAAACCTAAACAGACAGCCAAATTGGGAAGCAAAGAAATAAACCCCAAATGAAAGAACAAGAGGATTTTCCAGAAAAAGAGACGAATGAACCAGAGATAAGAAATTTATGTAGTATAGAATTCAGAATGATAGTAAAGATGTTCAACAACATGATAAAAGATATAGCTAACTATGAAAAGAGGAATGAAGAATGATACAGCACAAATAAAGAATATATTGGAAGGAATAAACAGCAAATTAGAAGCTAAGGATTGAATCAATGAATTAGAAGACAGGGTTGTAAACATCACTCAATCACAGAACCAAAAAGAAAAAAACAGAAGGGCAGCTTAAGGGAGCTGTAGGAGAATGAGAAACATAACAATATTTGAAAAACAAGTGTGTCAGACAAGGCATAAAGGGAGAAAGGGATAGAGAACGTGTTTGAAAAAATAATGGCAGAAAACTTCCCTAACCCGGTAAAGGAAAAAGTCACACAAGTCCAGGAGGAACAGAGAATTTCAAGCAAGAAAAACCCAAACAGGCCACACCCAGACACATCACAATTAAAATGCCAAAAATAAAAGACAAAAAGAGCTGAAACCAGTTTGGCTCAGTGAATAGAACATCAGCCTGCGGAATGAAGGTCCCAGGTTCAATTCTGGTCAGGGGCATGTTTACCTTGGTTGTTGGCACATCCCCAGTGGGGGGTGGGGGGGTGGCACGTGTAGAAGGCAGCTGGTCGATGTTTCTCTCTCATCGATGTTTCTAACTCTCTATCCCTCTCCCTTCTTCTCTGTAAAAAAAAAAAAAAAAAAAAAATATATATATATATATATATATATATATATATATATATCCCTCTCTCTTCCTCTCTGTGAAAAATCAATAATATATATATATATATAGATAGATAGATAGACCATATTTGGGAAACAGGTAAAGTCGCTTCAAATTCAAGAAGATAAAAATCCTATCAAGCATCTTCTCAGATCACAATAGCATAAAATTAGAAATCAACTACAATAAGAACAATGAAAAAAAATCAAACATTTGGAAGCTGAATAGCATGCTATTAAACAATGATTGGGCTACCAAAGAGATCAAAGAAGAAATTAAAAACATCCTGGAAAGGAATGACAATGAAAACACAACAACCCAAAAACTATGGGACACAGTAAAAAGCAGTCCTAAGAGGGAAGTTTATAGTTCTACAGGCCTATCTCAAAAAACAAGAAAAAAATGGTAATAAATTATATAACCCTACAACTTAAAGAATTAGAAAGAGAGAGCCCTAACCGGTTTGGCTCAGTGGACAGAGTGTTGGCCTGCAGACTGAAGGGTCTCAGGTTCGATTCCAGTCAAGGGCATGTACCTTGGTTACAGTCACACCCCTAGTTGGAGGTGTGCAGGAAGCAGCTGATAGGTATTTCTCTTTCATCAATGTTTCTAACTCTCTATCCCTCTCCCTTCCTCTCTGTAAAAAAATCAATAATAAAAATTTATATTTATATTTATATATATATATATATATATATATATATATATATATATATATATATATTAGGAAGAGAGTAACAAGAAAAGCCTAGAGTAAGCAGAGGGAAGGAGACAATAAAGATCAGAGCAGAAATAAATGACATAGAGACCAAAAATAAAAACAAAACAAAAAAACACACCAAAATAACAACAACAAAAACACAATACAAAAGATCAATGAAACCAAGAGCTAGTTATTTGAAAGGAAATACAAGATTGATGAACCTCTAATCAGGTTCACCAAGAAGCAGAAAGAGGACCCAAATAAACAAAACCAGATATGAAAAAGGTAAGGTAACAACAGATATCACAAAATACAAAGGAATGTAAAAAAAATAGTATAAACAACTCCACTCCAACAAAGTGGACAACCTAGAGAAAATGGCATATTCCTAGAAAAATACAACCATCCAAAATTCAATCACAAAGAATAAAAAAACCTGAATAGGCCAATAACAACCGATGAAACTGAAACAGTAAGCAAAAATCTTCCAGCAAACAAAAATCCTGGTCCAGACAACTTTACAGAGGTGTTCCACCAAATATTCAAAAGAAAACTAAAACCTATCTTTCTCAGACTATACCAAAAAATTCAACAGGAAGGAACACTTCTAAGCTCATCCTATGAAACCAGCATTACCCTAATACCAAAACCAGATAAAGACACCCCAAAGAAAGAGAACTACAGGCCAATATCCATGATGAACATAGATGTTAAAATCCTCAACAAAATTCTAGCAAATCAGATCTGGCATTACATTAGAAAGACCATTTCCAGGACTAAGTGAAATTTATTCCCCAATGCAAAGACAGTACCATATTCGCAAATCAATAAATGTAATACATCACATTTGAGAGACGAAGATCACATAATCATATCAATCGATGTAGAAAAAGCATTTGACAAAATAAAAAACACTTTCTTGATAAAAACTCTCAGCAAGGTGGGAATAGAGGGATCATACCTCAACATAATAAAAGCCTTATATTACAAACATACAGACAACATCATAGTCAATGGGCAAAAACTAAAACCATTCCCCCTAAGATCAGGAATCATACAAGAATGTCCGCTTTCACCAGACTGATACAACATAGTACTGGAAGTCCTAGCCACAGAGATAGATAAGAAAAAGAAATAAAAGGCATACAAATTGGAAAAGAAGAAGTAAAATTGTCATTATTTGCAGATGACATGATATTATACATAGAAAACCCTAAAGACTCCATCAAAAACCTACTAGACTTAAAAAATGAATTTGGTAATGTAGCAGGATACAAAATTAGAAATCTGTGGCTTTTTCAAACAACAATAATAAACTCACAGAAAAAAAGAAACTAAAAAAAAATCCCATTTACCATTACACCAATAATAATAATAATAATAAGATACTTAAGAATAAACTTAACTAAGGAGGTAAAAAAACAACAACACAGTACTCATAAAACTACACGACACTGAAAAAAGAGATAGATGCAGATATAAACAAGTGGAAGAATATACCATATTCATGGACTGGTAGAATCAACATCATTGAAATGTTCATACAACCCAAGCAATCTATAGATTCAATGCAATTCCCATTAAAATACCAATGGCATATTTCACAGACCTAGAATAAACTCTCCAAAAATTCATCTGGAATAAAAAAACACCCCAATTAGCCACAGCAATTCTGAGAAAGAGAACAAAGTTGGAGGGATCACAATACCAGATATCAGGCTTTATTACAAAGACACTGTTCTCAAAACTGCCTGGTACTGGCACAAGAACAGACATATAGATCAATGGAATAGAATAGAGAACCCAAAAATCAACCCAAGCCATTATGCTCAATTAATATTTCACAAAGAAGGCAATGGAGTCAAGACAGTATCTTCAATAAATGGTGCTGGGAAATTGGTCAGATACTGGTACAAACAAAAAAATGAAACTAGACCACCAACTTACACCATACCCCCAAACAAACTCAAAATGGATAAAGGACTTAAATGTAAGGCGGAAAACCATAAAAATCTTAGATGACTACACAGACAGCAAAATATCAAACATATGATGTAGCTACATCTTTACTAATACAGCTCCTACGGCAATGGAAACTAAAGAAAAAATAAACAAATGGGACTACATCAAAATAAAAAGCCTCTGAACAGCAAAAAGAACCAGCAACAAAACAACAACATATTAGCCAATGTTATCTCAGATAAG